TAAATCAACTCAACCTGTATTCCATATAATTGTAAAACTACACCCAAATGTATAATTTCAAAGTATACAATTATATTGAGACTAGTGTCTATTTACAAAAACAAATGCACTGCAAATGACTCGATCACTAACAGCGGAGTGACACGAAATAAAGTGCGATGAAATGCCTTTACTTATTTGCGATGGATAATGAGTGCCGATGAATGCATGCTAGGCTGATCACTATCCGCAAAAGGGAGATAAAAGGGTGAGTCTCACAAACTCAGTGATCAGGGGCTCGATGAGCAGGGTGTAGATGGGAAATAAGCCAAAGGTAGAAAATTTGAATATTAAAATCATATGAATATACAAACCATTTTAAAGCAAATGGAATATTTGTGCCTTACATATAAAACCAAGAATTTTAGTGCAAAGTAATCATTTAGCAATTATTGTATCAAAGGCAGTGTGAGTGAAAGATTTCTCTCATCAAAATCATTTAATGTTTTTGACTTAAAGTCAGATTAACATAAGCATGCATGCTCCTATAAAATCAAACATTATCAAAGCTTTTACACAAGCTCATAAAATCATCTCATCACTGAGGTATTAAACACAACGTGATTATATAAATAAAAGAGCTACGAAAAAACCAGTATTTCTCACCATGCGAAAGAAGTCATGTATGAAAACCCAAGATACATCATTCTCGAGTTAGGTAATTGTAAATAATCAACTTGTGGACCCGCTTTCATGTAATATCAATCCGAGAGCCTCGTTCCACTGGATTCCCATAGCCATGGTAGTCTTGACGATTTTGGCCAACATCAGAGAAATCATGTGGTCGCAATCATGTATATTAGCTTGTGGCCTAGCCACATATATCAACCCATCGCTTTGCCACGTATATATCACATACCGTGGCCCCAGCCACATCTAACAGCCTGTCAATGACCTAAAAGTTCTCTAGCTAGGGCTCACTTACGCACAAGGGTCACACTGTCCCAATGTCACATTCAGCCTACTCTCAAACTTCCTGGTTTCATAAAACCATTTAAAAATCAAGTTGGGTTCTCAAAAG